ACTCCATTCAAATGCACAGACCATAAATATATCATATATTTTTAAAACACTTCGATGTCATCTTGTTTTATTTCAGCCCTGCTTTCGCACATTTCATATTTTGTTCTTGTCCAGGTTTGTCCAGTCCTGGATTGAGATCAGTTTTTCTAATCTGCGCGTGCGCATTAAGTGTTTTGTGGTCAAGCGCATGCGTATTTGCAACACAACAATGGCGGTTCACGGATTTCAAAATTCGAACAAGCATGTACTTTGGAGAGGTTGTACTTCAATTTGCGCAACTATTTCGCTTGGGGGGAAGTGGATTCTAACTAAGTAAGTTCTAATCTATCCATTCATGTAAAAATTATGTAGTTACACGAGGGGTGCTACGGAATTGAACATTTTCGACCCTTATCCAATGGCCTACAAGATGTGCTTGCAATAGGTTTGTAGCAAGTTCGTTTAACAAGTTGCGAGAATGCCATTGCAACAACTTGTCAACAAGATGTGTTTGCAATAGATTTGTAGCTGGCTTGCTAACAAGTTGTGACAATGCTGTTCGGTCCTGTCAACAACTTGTCAACCAGATGTGTTTCCAATAGGTTTGTAGCATGCTTGTTAACAAGTTGCAACAATGCTGTTCCAACAACTTGTCAACAAGATATGTTTGTAATAGGTTTGTGGCATGCTTGTTAACAAGTTGCGACAATGCTGTTCGAACAACTTGTCAACAAGATGTGTTTGTAATAGGTTTGTGGCATGCTTGTTAACAAGTTGCGACAATGCTGTTCCAACAACTTGTCAACAAGATGTGTTGGTAATAGGTTTGCTGCAAGCTTGTTAACAAGTTGCGACAATGCTGTTCCAATAATTTGCCAATAAGATGTGTTTGCAGTAATAGGTTTATGGCATGCTTGTTAACAAGTTGCGACAATGCTGTTCCAATAATTTGCCAATAAGATGTGTTTGTAATAGGTTTGTGGCATGCTTGTTAACAAGTTGCGACAATGTTGTTCCAACAACTTGTCAACAAGATGTGTTGGTAATAGGTTTGCTGCAAGCTTGTTAACAAGTTGTGACAATGCTGTTCCAACAACTTGTCAAGGTTTGTGGCATGCCTGTTAACAAGTTGCAACAATGCTGTTCCAACAACTTGTCAACAAGATGTGTTTGTAATAGGTTTGTAGCAAGCTTGTTAACAAGTTGTGACAATGCTGTTCCAACAACTTGTCTACAAGACTTTTCGCAACAGGTTTGTAGCAAACTTGTTAACAAGTTGTGACAATGTTGCTTCAACAAGTTGTCAGCAAAATGGATCCTCAACAGGTTTGTAGCAAGCTTGTTAACAAGTTGTGACAATGCTGTTCCAATAACTTGTCAACAAGATGTGTTTGTAATAGGTTTGTGGCAAGCTTTTTAACAAGTTGTGACAATCCTGTTCCAACAACTTGTCAACAAGACGTCTTTGCAATACGTTTGTAGCATGCTTGTTAACAAGTTGTGAGAATGCTGTTCCAACAACTTGTCAACAAGATGTGTTTGTAATAGGTTTGTAGCAAGCTTGTTAACAAGTTGTGACAATGCTGTTCCAACAACTTGTCAACAAGATGTGTTTGTAATAGGTTTGTAGCAAGCTTGTTAACAAGTTGTGACAATGCTGTTCCAACAACTTGGCAACAAGATGTGTTGGGAATAGGTTTGTAGCAAGCTTGTTAACAAGTTCTGACAATGCTGTTCCAACAACTTGTCAACAAGATGTGTTTGCAATAGGTTTGTAGCAAGCTTGTTAACAAGTTCTGACAATGCTGTTCCAACAACTTGTCAGCAAGATCAATGTGTTTGTAATAGGTTTGTGGCATGCTTGTTAACAAGTTGCGACAATGCTGTTCCAACAACTTGTCAACAAGATGTGTTTGCAATTAGGTTTGTAGCAAGCTGGTTAATAAGTTGTAACAATGCTGTTCCAATGGGAACAGATTTACTATTTAGCTTGAATACGCTGACACATGACGACTACTTTGGATATAAATTGATAAAAATCTAAAGCATTTTGTCGATAAAAATCTATAAATATCGACAAAAATCGGTGAGTATCGATAATAATCGGCCATAACTTTTTGTTACTATCGATTGGTCGTCGATTGACCAATGTCAATATAGGTATCAATTAAATAATTAATATCGATTACCATCGATTGATCGATTGGATTTCCGATAATCGTTTTCATCGATTAAGTATGCCGGGAGCCTAAGCATTAAAGTACACTTACAGGAAAGTTGGCCACAATGCTACATCCCAATATAGCAATGAGTCCTGCAGGCAAACTGTATCTATTTAAGACAAGTGTGGTTCGACCTCCTTCCAACCATTCAGCATCGCGTTTTACTTGAAGATATCGAATGTATACCAATATTAAACCAATAAACGTTGCGATATTAACCAACTGTGAAAATATATTACTCTCTGGAGATTTTGTTGCTGTGTCGCTGATGGCAGGGAACCATGGCGTTATGTCACTCTGCGCAACAGCTATCACAAACGAAGTAATTATTGAAATAAAAAGAATACTTGCAAACACAACTGGAAGATAGTTCGCACCACAAGGACATGTCCTGGTCATCTTGAATATATCTTCTTTATGCCAAATAACCAAAAGGATAAGTTTTTAATAATAAAACACAAAATCGCAAAATCAAATAATATCACATGACGGCTTATTAGCACTATTTTCCATCCAGCAAACTGACCTGACGTCATTTTCGGAAGATTGAAGAGGTGTTAAATGGCTATGTAACTAACCCAAACCCTACCCCTACTCTAACCCCTAACCCTAACCTCAACCCTAACCCTAACCCTAACCGAATTAAAGACAAAAATCCAAAAAGAAAGACTTTACAAAATCTGTAGGGCGGTTTGCTGGATGGAAAATAGTGCTAACCTCACATGACTTGCTGCAAATTTTCAAACGTCATTCTCGCGTCCCGCGCGTGTAATATTCGTGGATTTTTTGCACAAGCCGCCAGATTTCTCCCAGATCGAGGCAGACTTCTGCAATGGCCCACTTAGGGTAAGCTAGAATATTACCACTAAATGCAGGTGGTTTAGGAGTTGCCATTACTTGGCAAAGATATCCTTTTCATTTATAGTTCCATCCTTCCACTTGTTGTCTTTGAATTTCAATCGCATCTCTTTGAATTTGCTCCAGTGATCTTGTTGGTTGTCGTGGCAGAATCTGGTATAAACGGGGTAATTGGATCAAGGGGTTGGTAGATAATTGATTTTTGGTTGTACCACTGGCACTATACAGTGTTCATGTTGTTACTCACGGTTTCACTTGCTCAAGCTGCATTTTCATGCACAGTATTTGGTGATCGAGGGTTGGGTGTTGTTACATGGAAACGTTGTACCCCACCCCCCACCCCCCTCCCCCCAAGGTGTTTGGTGTACAGTTACTGCAGCATTGATCTCACCTTGCAAGTGCTCTTGCTCCTTATTCCATTCTAGTTCCATTTCGCGCATACTTTTCGCGTGGCTTCAACTCCTCTCGCTGTCTTTCAACATTATGCTTTATTCTATAAGACTAAGCATTTTTTCTTTCATAACTGCTGCAGGGCATTTTTTAACTATATAACTGGGGGGCCAAAGCCGCCCCAGCCCCTATGGTGGCCCCCCC